AGAAACCCAAGGAGGGGTCACTGTGAGTCGGATCCAACTCAACGGCAGTGAATTTTTTTTTTTTTTTTTTCTGGTTTGGGAGTCTAGAATCAAAGGAACACTGGTAGCATAGTGCCAAAGGCATTTGACTGATAATCAGAAGGCTGGTGGTTCAAACCCACCAGCCGTTCCACAGAAGGAAGACTGGGGAATCTACTTCTATAAAGATTTACTGCCTTGGAAACCCAGAAGGGATTGCTGTGAGTCAGAATCAACTCGATGGCAGTGAGTTTTTTTTTTTTTTTTGTAGTTCAAAATCATAGCTGTTTTGGTTACCTCTAATGCCATTCTAATAGAAATACCACAGATGTATGGCTTTCACAAACAGGGATTTATTCTCTTACAGTTTAGGAGGCTAGAAGTCTAAGTTCAAAGTGCCAGCTCTTGGGGCTGGGTGAAGGCTCCTTGACCTTGGGCTTCTGCTCTACCTCTTGCTCCCGGCCCACTGAATCTGGAGGCATCTCTTAGCTCAGGCAGCTGTTGGCTGCTGAGGCTGATAAAACCAAAGCTGACAAATAAAATGGCATAGTCCTAAGATTACCAAACACCATGGCAGACCACTAGTTCAAGTCAGAGACAGCCCCAAGATTATCAGACAACACAGCAGTTCACTAGTTCAAGTCCAGAAAAAGTCCCAAGAGTGGCAGGGCATGGCAGGCTGCTGAATGAAGACTCGGCTACGTGCAGGATCCAGATGTGCCAAAAAGCTACAGAGATCTTTCTCAGTGCTTCTTCTTATATACCGGAAGCAGACCACACCCCTAAGGCAGCTACTCAGCTGCTCCAGGGGAGTTGATTACCAGTCTCATCATGGGGAATAACTACATCCAGCTGCCCAGCCACTCAAAACCAGGCCCAGTCAAGTTGACATACAATTTAACTACCACAATAGACTAACCAAGTTGATATATAAAATGAACATCACAGCTAGTTTACCTGAGACAGGAGAGACATACATGTTAAAGAGAGGCTATGACCACAGGCACTGCATCACTCTA